TTGACACTGAATGCAGGAACAAAAGCTAGCTTGATAAAGAGAATTCCCCTCCATGACCAGAAACTACCACATTTGAAGTGGAAGAAAAACTATGGAATTTAGCGAACTAAAGTCTGAATAAACTGTCATGTTATCCACAGTCAACAAATCTGAATTCAAGTAGAACAAGGGAATGAAAAAAGCAGTGAGAAAGACAGGGAATGGAGATCTATCTTACAAGAGAACACTAGAAGAATTTGGTTTCTTTAAACTAGCAAAAAGAAGGCTAGAAGGAGTTGTGACTCATGTCCATAAAAAAATACCAAGGACAAGAAGACACAGGGTCAGACAGCAGTAAAGAGATTTTTCATGATAAAATATAATTAAATCAATGAATTAGCAAATGTAAGTTGAGCTTGAAAGTAAGCTTTCTAACCACTCAAGTAGAAATCTGGAGAAGTTTTTGGTTTCTCCCATGAGGAGGGACATGAGCATGTGCACACAAACTGAGTAGCAGGAGGAAACAATCTATGTTTAATAAAAAGTTTGACTGACTTATGAAATACAGTATCTGGTTACTAGTGGTGGTAGGAGACTTGGCTCGAGGATTTCGTCTAAATAATGTTATCTTCATCGTAAATTTAGCTTGTTGCTCCTGAACTGAACACAGCACTTCTCTGGCTAAAGTGTATCTTCCCAAAATGGCAACCTATCCTAGTCTTGCCTTGTTTTGGTTCCCCAGCCCAAGCTAGTGATTGTCTTCTACCACAAAGTCTCAAAACTATTCTAGGTGTTATCCTTCTCTTCTATTGATACAGTCAGGAAATATTATTGAGCTTGCAAACAGGGACCAGTTTTTAAAGGCATGCAAATGTTTAAGCCCCATTAATTTCTACAGGGGTTATTTTTAATGCCTAAATTTTTTGTATAATACTCATCCTAAGCAGCAAGACTCATATCTGTTATATATATTGCATTTTCCTATTTCAAAGGTGAAAATCACAAGTCACAGTGGAGCATTTTGTTTAAACAACGGTATCTTCTCTCCCTCTGTTAAAAACACTCCTCTGTTGCCTTCTGTTCTATATGAGAAAGCACACTAGATGATTGTGCCACACTCTTAGAGCAGGAAAAGGAAACTCTGCAGACAGTTCTGCACCTGTGTGAGAAATCACTCCACAGTTTGCTACTTGGTCCTTAAGGAAGCTCCAGATCAGATAAAATTTGCAGTTGACACATAGTGATATATTAAGATGAATAAGCAGCAATCACACAAGTAATTTGTCACCTCGTAGGTGGATTGTATTCAAACTGTGCCTTAATAGACCTGAATGCTAACCTGTACATCTACAGGAAGAGATTACAGTCCCTACTTCCAAACTGCTGGAAGGTCACAGCATAAGAAAGAATACTAAGGGCCATTCAACCCAGTAGAAAAAGGTCGTAAAAACGTCCCCATAGCAATTAATTAAAAGCCAGACACATTCAAACAGAAAATATGGCATATTTGTCCTTGCTTAATGGGAACTTTAGTCATTTAAAAAATTAAATGAGAGGAAGTAGTGTTGCATCTTTTCAGTACTTGAAGAGGACTCTGCTCTGTCAGAAAGTATATTCTAGTCAAGGCAGCTGAGCAAATACAGGTGACATGAACTCTCTTGCATTATACGGAAGTTTATTAATCTTTTCAGGGTTTAAAATTTATAGGTCACATTGTGGGAAAATCAATTTGCTGCATAACAGTTACAAGTCTGACAATGTCCTGATAAGAACGGTCTCACCCAGGAAACAATAAAAACAGACAAAGGTGCAGAGGTCCAAGTGTAAAGACAGCATCACAGCAGCACCACTGAGATGAACAGGGCTGCTCATGACAGCAGGGCATCCCGATGCTATGCACTGAGTGGGCCAGCCTTTTCAAAGCTGAACCCCCTTAACACTGTAAGATCAGGACCAAGCTGTCCTGCCTCTGGCAAACAGTAATTGTGGTGCCAAGCATGAGGCTTGCATTCAAACACAAATGGTAGTATTTCACAGCAATTTCCACAGGACAAGACTCCTTTAAGAAGACCTGACTTGCTTCTGACTCCAGAGCAACAGGATACGACATCTGAGCAGAAGCAGCTGGCAGGATCTTTTCCACCCTCCAGCAAGGCACTCTGAACATCTAAGATTAGCCTATCTTTTTCCTAGGAAGGGAAATTAACAGCATATCCTTTCTAGACAGCCATGTACAGCTGGGAGAAAGCATCCTGGCAGAAGCAAAAACCTATAAAGCTCCTCAGTCAGCACAAGTTTTGTCAGTGCAGAGCTCTTCATGACTCCTGTATTTTCAGGTGCTCTGCAGAAGACATGCAAACACAGAGGAATGACATCAGCCATTACTGCAGACAAAGAAGCACTGGTCACTTAAACAGAATTTGGGGCCCTCTTTCCACTATTATCTTCAATCTGCACAGCAGCTCTCTCTGGACTGTTTCTTCAAAAATTATCTGAAAGCAAACATACTTCAGGTGCAATGCCATGCCTTCAAATAGCATCTTGATATGCTTCTTTTCTCTTCCAAAAGCCTTCCTACAACCCAGATACAGCCATTTCTGCAGTGCAGATGGAGCCTGAGACAAAACACTGGAAACAGAGTCAGCAGTAGAATCCAGATATCCACTATCAGATATCATGTGCTTTAACAAAATGATTTATTTCACTGTAGTAGAGTCCCATCCGCACTAACAGCTAAAGGAGCTCTGGAAGTACCAGCTGCATACATAGCACCAGGTTCTCTACGCCCTGATGCTGGGGCACTGACAGAAGTTAGGCAGATGTCTCCAGTTCTACTCTGGCAAGGTTAGTCTTCGGCTAAGAATTGTGGGTTAGGCTTAAAGAACACAAAATCAGTAGTTCTTTTTCTCTAAGAGGTGTATAAAATAATACAAATAATGTGATAACAGCATTATGAACTTAAACTGTGCTGCTCAAGGGGCACCAGGCTCTCCACTCTGCAGTGGTCTTGCTCAGTTTCATCAGGCCATTGCTTTAGCTATAACAGGCTCTTCTCAAGGACATGAAATCATCCCTTGAAACAGCAGGCAGATGCTATTTCTGGGATCACTCCCTTCCCAAGCTAGTTCTCTACTTGGATGCTAAGTAGTCTTTAAGGCCCTGAATATTTCTTCTGTTGTCCTCCAACTATCCACCAAGAGGCACATGTGTTTCACAGCTGACATGTTAGGAAAGATGGCAAGGGCACCCCTCTCAGTACAAGTGAGGTGTCCTAACTGCGCAGTGCCCAAGTTCAGCTCTTGCTTACAGCACTCTTCTCAGCCCGAGTCCCACAGTTTGCTTTCACTGATGTTTCTGAAGACTGAATCTTCCACATGAGCTGCAGTTCTGGTAGGTGCCCTGCACGATTCCACTAAAATGGCTGAGTATCACTGACTGAAGAGGTCAGCAAATATCCACTGAGCTGACCACTCCACCAGAGCTGTAGGACAAGCAACTGCTTCCCAAAGCTGGTCTCCTCTGGGGCGACTTCAGCTACCACCACCCATCTGGTGGATCTCTACTAGGTTTGTCCTTGGGAGCTGCACTACCAACACTGCTCTTCACAGTGAGGGAACAGATTTGTACAAAGAAGATTACGCTGCAGGGACACCAGAGCAGACCTGGTGCCTCTAACCAGCTGCCATCTCCAGCCACCGCAGAGAAGATCTCAGCACTTCCATCAGATGCAGGTGGACCACAGGCAGGAGCCGAGGAAGAGGCAGGCAGACAGTTTCCTGACACAGGACTGAGGGTTTCTGGGCCACTGCACCTCAAGGAGCAAGGTGCTCCTGCAAATGGAACATGACATCTAACAGCTGGAAAGAAGGGCCAAGAGAAGTGTTTTCCCAAATGAGGAAACAGGAAGCACCTGGCTATACTCAGTTTTGTCTCTGAGAGACAGAAGAGCTATGCAAAAGAGAAACACAAGAAATATTAATGCCTTTCAGTGATCTAGAGCCAAGATAGACAAATCTTCAGGACACACTGACAGTGGACCACATCTGAGCCAGCTTGTGTTTCGCTGAAGTGGTGTGATCTGTCATCTCCCTCCCAGAAAATCAAGAAAGAAAAGCCTCCATTTTACACCCGAGGGAGTAGCAAAGTGCCAAGTTCACAACGACAGTCAAGCCAGCACTCCCATGTAATACATGAGTCTGGTACCATTGTACTGTCCTAAGGGAAGAAACCTTCATGCAAGCCATTAGTACTGACAACAGCTTCTGCCTCTTGCCAGTGGCAGAAGCACTCTGCTTCCAACAGTTCCTCAGTAACACTGCCTGCAGAAATCCCACTGACCCAAAGAATCAGTCAAGCCTACTCAAAACGTGGAAACAAGAGGCTGAGCTAAGGCAGCAAGACACAGGACTTTAAACTTTGGCACAGAAGACCATACATGTGCCAGGGCTTTATGGACCCCCTGGTGGCACTTGCCCCTTTTCTGACATCCCAAAGTGCTGCACGTGAAGACTTGAGGAGATTCTACAGTTGGGGCTGTGTGAGATACATGAATCATTAGCTCCAGTCCACCTTTCTCATGCAATGGCAGAGTGTCCTGAGTTAGATCCTCCTCCCTCTCCCAAAGGGTCATACATGGCACACAGCAAATTTGTGAGGCCTCTACTCCTTCAGGGTTACCTACCACTCCCAGCAGTATGCATTTATTTTCTTCCACCTTCTCCTTCCTCAGTGCACAGCAAACAGGAACTGAACTTTCCATCTCAGCCCCCTTTGTTTTTTTTATATTCCTTCCATCTCACTCCTGATCTGCAGCAGCCATTCTCACCTCAGGTATGGAAAAGTAGGGAAAGGAGGTGAAAGCAGGGGAGGAAACAATCATTGTGTGTTTGTGATCAGTCAGGTCCAGAAGCCACTTGACCCAGAGAGATCAGTTTCCCCTACAACAATGGGTGAGCCTGGGAAGCAAATCAAGCAGACTGAATGATTTTTGGCAGAGAGAGAACAGTAGGAGTGGTACAGACCTCTTCCTCCTCAATGCGAGCAGGTTCAATCAGCAGATTATTGGCTTGATCAAACGACACCCCCTGTTAGGACAGGAACCAGCAAAGAGGCATGCGGATTAGTGGAGCATAAACCAAACCCGCCACCACTACCACCACCACCCAACACACAAACGCACACCACTCTGACAGGTCTGGCCACACAGCACCAGAGCAGACCCCACTCACACCACTCCTGATTACCACCTACCAGCGAGTAGAGCGACAGGGCTGCTCCTGGGACTCACAACATGCAGAGTGTCAGCACTCTTTGGACCAGCTAACTGGAAACTGCATCTTTAAGGCCATATTTTGTCTGTGTTGGCACTCTGAGGCTGTCACCACCAAGCTCACAAGCTAAACACTATTAGCTGATTTTACACCCTCTGTACCAAGTCATTCAGTGAAGAAGGAAGGATTAAACAACAAAGGAGAAAAGCACAAAGCGACCTCTGGTGCCACCCAGCTGCTGCACAGGAATGAAGCGATCTCAAATCAAACTGCACTGGTCTCTCTTGCAAATGGAAGAGCCTCCGGTGGAACAGTGCATCCTGCCAGACACACAGGGAGCTTGCTCCCAAATGCAGGAAACCTTGGAAATTCTCTTTAAAACCAACCATCTGCAAAAAAACCCCTCTGGTTTAAGGATTCAGTTTCCTGCACACCCTCTTACCTCCTCCCTTAATGCATGTATGCAGCACCTCCTACTTGAAACTCCACTGCACAGGGACACTGGTCCCCACATTCTCACTTCTGGAAGATAGTTCAGGAAGCAAGCTAATAAACCTGCCTTCATGGAGCAGGCAACCAACCCAGCCCCCCAAAAAGGAAAACTGATTTCCGGGCAGAAGGCTTAGCTGATAACAAAGGTAACTTTCTGATAGATACACCAAACCTGTGGTCTCAATGCCTATGTAGGCTTTACAGGTTTTGCCAATGGGTCAGTGCCTCCTCAGCACTGAGTCCCTGACTAAAATAAGCTTTTTGGGTGAGGGCATTTCCCCAAGTACGGCAGGTCTTGAATGAAGGGGACTCAAGATGGCTTCACACATTCTTACAAGCAGCAGCAACTCCTTTTCATTCTGAACAACTCCACAAACAAGCTGTATCAGCTCTGCTACAGCAAGGCAACCATCCACTGAGAGAAAGGCTCCAAAGCAAACTTGAATACAAGAACCTTCCCCTGAGCAACGTGAACTCCAGCATGGGGTAGAAATGATCCCAACAGTCTGGAGTGTGTGCAGTAAGAGCAAGAGAAGACTTTACTCTAGCATCTTCAGAGACCCACATCTCATCCATGAAATCTGTTGGTGTCAGACTATGATGGAGGTTCAGCCACACCCTAATCTCTGCCTGCCAAATGCCCCTCACAAAACCATCACACCAACTTCAAGAATTGGTCTAACCTCATGCAGTGTCCCTCATCGGTATCTTCCTATTCCACTGTGAGAATGTTCCTCAAGCAAGAATCTCCGTGTGTCCCTAACCAACATGGTGGTTCAGCTGAGTAGAGCCAAGGACTTTCTATCTCATCAGCCCCAGCATAACCAGAAGGGCCCATCGTGGCCTCATGGCAATGGCAAAACTCCAGAGTATGAGTTCCCCTAAATCCCAGTGAACACTTCATCGGATTGCATCTGCACTGGTGCAAGCACAGGGTGGAACCAGAGGGGCACGCTCCTGTCTCCTCTCACTACCCACTCCTCTCCAAGAGGCACTGTAGCAGAAAGACAAGTGTAGAGCAGCCTGAACATCAGCCTGAGATTAGATCCAGGGATAAAGCTCATCCTGTTGCAAACGAGGTGCAACAACCAGCAAGCAAGGAGGTGAATGAAAGGAATGAAAAAACCTGTCAATGATGGGACAAAAGAACTGTTCTTGCAGCACAGAACACATCACCACACATAATGGGGAGGTGCAAGAATCTGGATACAGCGCGAAGAGTCAGACATAAGCAACACGGCACAGCTCTTGGACGATCATATGAGCCCCAGAACGACCTTCAGCTCTCCCACCCTCAGCATGTCTCTCCTGAAGTGCTGGAGCCTCTTGCAATGTTTTAATTGGTAACACAAGCACCTGGTTGATAGTTCAAAGTAGCGGAAGGGAGGTCTGGCACCCCTCTGACCTTTCCCCCTCCCCACAAGACTTTACCTTCACTGATGGCTGAGCAGATAAAGTTCCATTCTTTCTGTCATCCTCATCCCACACTTCCTCCTGCTCCTCAGGCTCTGTGTTGTTATTGCAGCCTCCTAACTCCTCTTCCTCTTTGGGGACTCCATCACTGTTCAGTCCCTGCAGGAGTGCCACCACTGCCTCTGGCTTGGGCAGTTTAGTTATCTTAAAGTGTTTCTTATAATGGGGTGTGTCCTTGCGGATAAGCCTCTGTTTCTCCACTGGGAATGGTCGTTCTTCATCCTCATCCTCATCCTCACTCCGTATTAGTGTGTCCTCAGCAAAGTGTACAGTAGGCTACAACGGCAAAGCCCCAGAAAGGTTGTGAACATTAGGTAACAGGTATATCTGGGAACAGTGCAGAAACTTTCTGTCCCCCCACTACCAAAACAGGCAAAGCCAGTGTTGCTGCTTTTATGCTAAATAAGATGCAAGAATACATGTTAAAATTTCATCATACTTGCCTTTTTCTGTATTAACTCCTTCACTCAGACACACCTTCTGTCTGCTCCAGCAACTGAGGGCACTTAAACTGTAACCCTGATTTTCTCAGTCTCTGTCTGGCTCCCATACTGTCCTTTCTAGTCTCCCATGGACACAGTTCCCACAGACTGCCTGAATCTCTGCTTATACTTGGACTCCACAGCCTGTATTTGCCTCCACTGATGCCCAAATCACACTCTCTACATCCATTTACCATTTTCTCTGAAACTTTCAAGTCCTTCCACTTTTTATCATGACTCTGCTGCAGTTCCTAGGCTCCTACCTCATTGTATTCCACTTCCACATCTTCCTCTTCTTGGTCAGCAGCTTCTTTATGCTCCTCGTCAGCTCGGGGCTTTGCTTCCTTCTCCAGCTTGTGCATCTCAGGCACCTGCCCATTTGGCCAGCTCCTCTCTCCCTCCTCTCCCTGCTCCTCTGCCCTAAAGTCAGCAGAGGCAGTGCTGTTGGAAAGGTGGGAGTCCTCACTGCGATTTGACACGGCGCTCAGCCTCTTCTCCTAAGTATAGGATTGTAAAAGTTAAGATGGAAACCAAAGCAGCAGATGGAACAAGGCAGTGTGACCGGTGTGAGGTAGGGTATGAACCAGTACCAACAGAACCAGCTTTTTCTTCAGGCTGCCCTCTGCTTTGCCTGCCAAGCCTGCTACATCTCACCTAGGTCCACCCTTGTTCCACCATGTTTGTAGGCATTTATTCTTAGTATCACGCCTGGGCAGTAAAATGTTTCCTCCAAGCACTCCTGTTCCCATTATTCTTCACTGGGAATATCAGAGCCTTCTTTCCCTCTCCCTGTGTTATGACAGAAGTGGTTCCAATGCACACAATTCCCCTTAGGCCATTCTCTGTCTCCTGGTTGCATCTCTTGCCCTATCTCAGTGGCCCCAGCTGACACCACAAGGCAGATTCCAGCCTTTAGAATCCAGGCAATCCTTCCAATCTTTCCCAGAAGTAAGTTCGTTCTGCCCAGCTTATACACGCTGCCTCCCCATTCCCCAAGTCCAACACATGTTTGCTATGGTTATCCATTTCTTAGTGAACAGCACTCACTTCTGAGTTAGGAGAATTCAGGTCCGTATCAGGCTTTGCAGCATGTACCTCATTGCGCCGAACTTCAATCACTTTCTTCATAACCTTCAGTTCACTGGGATGAGGGGTTGCTCTGCGCTGTAAGCCCTGCCCAGAGCAGGAGATTCAACAGTCAGAGCAGCACAGGCCACGCCTCAGGACTGAAGCACTTCAAACAACATGTTTTATCAGAGTGCTAGATCCCCGGCCGGACATGACCTCAATGTCATGTCTGGGCCCCTCCACTACGATAGTCTGTAGCTGTGAAGAGGAAATAAATGGAGGCACGTAACACTTCTCAGAGCTCTCTCTCAGACATTATCCTACTCTCCATCTGACAGAGGGGTTGGGAGGAACTGTAGAGACAGAGTTTTTAATTGTTCTTCAGACTTAGTAAATGCAAAACTGTCAACACAGAAACCCCTAAAGGAACACACAGGTGGAACATCATCTTAATCCCTCTGGTGTTTCTTAACACATCTGACAAGCACATATGCTACCAGAATTTGTGATACTTAGCTAGTTCCATCCCAGCTAAGAGTCAAGAAAACCAGTATTCTTAAATTAATAACGATGTTAAAAACAATCAAAAAAACCCCACAAAACCTCCAAACACCAGCAGCATATACATGCTGCAAGGACAGATGCAAATACAATTTATTGGAAGGATTCAGATCTCAAGAGAATCCCTCGCCACAAGATAAAAAGGGGAAAAAATCCTGCAGGAGATTTAAACCAACAGAGTACTTGCTGAAAACTGAAACTTTTATCCTGCCCTTTGCATCTGCAATTAAAGCAAAATGATATTCCATATTTTTTTAAGGCTGGTTGTCTACAGCGTTTAGATACTTTAGTAATAGGATACTCCACAGCACAGGCTTGCATCTGGCTCCCTGCCTGGAGGGGTGGAGACTGCCTGGCTTGAGTTTGGCTGTGCAGCTCTTCCCCATGAGTGGGGTCAACTAAAATCCAGTCCTGACAGTGCTCTGGCCATTAAGATCTCTGGATTATCTCAACACTCCATGGACAGATTGTCAGCCACAGCTCAACTCCCATGGGACAGCTCTCAAAACGTATATCTGCGCAAAAACTCTCAGGAAATTCTCTTTCATACCTGCTTGTCTCCTCAGGGCAGCAAATGCCCTTCGGACTGCAAAAACATAGTACACATCTGCAGCAGTATTTCAGGGTGAAACATGAACACCATAATGGCTCCCCATCTTAGAAAAAAAAATTTAGATTGTGCCTACATCTCCATGGGGAGCTAACAAGCCTCCAGAAACTCCTTACCCGTCTCTCAGCTCCAGACTCATCTTCATCATCTACTTTGGGTTCATCCAGGAACTGAATCACACTGACTCTGTTTAAATTGGTGTCTGTCCAGCTGTCATCCACACTGTTCTGCAAAAGATTCTCTGTGGACAAAGATAACACAGTGGGAGCTATTTTCTGAATGAGCAGGGCTGTAGGCTTGCTTGAATGAAAGACAGTTCTCAACACATTAGGGCACTTCTGTTGTATTTGCCTATGGCATCAAACCACAGAGGCCCTGGGGACAAAGGATGTAGCCTCCAGATCTTGTCACTTCTTGTACGTCCCCCACCAGATCTACAGCAGCCTCTACAAAAGGATCTTGATGGTTCAGCTCTAGCACTCCCTACCCAAGAACTAAGGAAAAAGGTAGGATTAAAACATGAATCAAGTACTGACACAAGAATATTATCACGACAGGAAGAAAACCTTACAGAAAATTAACTACTCAGTCAATAGATCAAAGCAGAAGACTTGAAGACTAGGCTGCAGCTTCTCTACCACCTGGCAGAGAAGCAATTTCTCAGTTTTAACAATCTCTGCCTTGGAAAGTTGCCACCAGCCATTCAGGAGCCTAGGTCTGCTGCCAGTATCACAATAATGAACAGTCCAACCAAGCAGAGAGGAAGGGTCAGTGCCTCTTCCCTACAGCATTCTCCAGAGCCCACGGTACTGCAGACAGCGTCCATAATGCAGACTCTTACCTAGGCTAGGAGAGGGCTGCTGGGGAAGCAGGTAACAAGTGAGAACTTTTTCTCCTGTCTTTTCATCATCCTCTGTCTGGAATTTCAGCATGGGCTGGGACTGATTTTCTGCCAGCCACAGGGCTTTCAGGTTAAGATTTGTCAAAGCAAGTGGCAAGTTCTGCAGTCTGCAAAAGAAAAGAAGAACTGCTGGTTAAACTTACTTGGTAATGAAGGAACTTCAACTCAGCTCCAGACTGCCTCACCTGCATTGGAAAAGGACAGAGCCGAGCCACTGTAGGATCCCTCACTCTCAGACACACCGAAGCAGCTGGCTCATGCTCCATATGGCTCTGCCACAGCCACACACTGGATTCCAGTAGCCCACCCTCATCAGTTTTTAGCAGAGGACAACTCCCATCAAGAATGTGAAAATGGGGTCTGAAGACAGAAAAATTATGCTGTCACAGACCAGTATATAGAGAGCATTCCAAACAGAAGCTCTGGTCACCTTCCAACTGCTACAGAAAATACCAGCCTTAGCTAACCAAACTGCAGCTAAAATCTTAAGAATCTTTCAAAACTGATCACAGAAACTTGTACTGCTGTGGGATTGTGCACACTTCAAACAAGGCTGTGGCACCAATCACCTGAGGACTGATGACACAAAACCACAAAATCTACAGGAGGGTCAACAGTGGACCAGAGACTTCCCTTGATCTTTGTTTCACGCATGGCAAAATGCCCCCACACTTCTGCATTAGTTCTTCCCTGTATTCAAGTAATGCAGAGAAGGGTTAACAGGCAAAACTTGAGACACACGCCCTCTTTCCAGAGCCCTAAGCAGCCAGTCTGGGCTTCTCCAAACCGAAGATCCTGGGATTAGCACAGATCCACTGTCTCCCAAAACACACCAGGGCACTGACCATGCTGTTCCTTCACAGCAGACTCCTTAGGAACATGTCTACAAGCCTGTTTACCCTTCCTGCTGCTGACCTGTTCCCAGCTACATCCAGGACGTGAAGCTCAGTGGTGTTGGCAAGCTCTGGTGGCAGGAGGGCCAGGCGATTGTCTCGCAAGGACAACACGTTCAGATTGGCACAGCCTCCGATCTCAGCTGGAAGGGATGTTAGCCGGTTCCGATCCACATTCAGGTTTGTCAGCTTAGCCAGCTTGCCCAGGGACTTTGGTAAGGCCTACGAAGGAGATGATTCAGTAGTTGCAAGAGATAAAAGCACCTGAATACAACGTATAAAGACCTCTACCTGGGGAGAAAAAAACTGCTTTCTGTCCTAACAGACAAATTTTTGATAAAGTTCTCACTACAACTTTGGGACAGGTTTTCCCTCAGGTTCACAGACTGTTATGTGCTAACTCTTCACATCAGCACAGCACACTCAGAACACCACTGGTCAAGATTTTTCTCTTGTTCATCTGTCCATTCCCAATACTTATGTTTTAACAATCAAATCATAAGCAGTTTGGAGCAGGACCATTTTAAACTACACTATTCCATGGCCCCTCATCAAACACAGCCTTTGATGTAGTCCTGCTTGCATCAGATCAGAGGGGCTTCTTCAGGATTAGCTATCCTAGAGCAAGCATCCTAGCCATTCTAGATAATTTTTCAGAGGAAAAAAAAAAAAAAAAAAAAAAAAAAGTGAGAGAAAGCAGATTCCACCAAGGTCTTCTCAAGAGCCTGTGAGCTAGGTGAAACTCTGTGCACCACAGCAGCTGAAGGGAGAGAAGCTGGAACATGCTCAGGAATCCGGCTCAGAGTCCAAAAGATGGGAAAGATCCCTGGCATGTGGCTAAACTGAACAGCACTGGAGAGGCAGCGTGGCTGCTGGTGTACTTACTGTCAGCATGTTCTCTGTCAAGATGAGTTCTGACAGATTTTCACAGTCCCCAATTGACTCTGTCACCTCTGTCAGCCGATTCTGGTCCACCTTGAGGATGGAGAGCTGCTTCAGCTGACCTGGCCAGGGCAACAAGTTAGGTGTGAACTATGCCACAGAGATAATGATGCTGTTCTATGTTTATCTGGCTGAAATGCTTCCCATCAGGGATTATGTAACCTAATAATACAGGCATTACCTTTCTTCCCCACCAGGCTTGTTCACAGGTTTCACCCATGCATAATGCAGATAAAGAACCTGAACTCATCCTGTAGAGTTCTGCTCACCAGTATCATCTACCACTTCTGCACTCAAGTACTGTGACTACGTCCATCAAGCCCTAATACCTTGTTACATACAATCTTGCCTCAATTCGGCCCTGCCAAGACAGTGAAGTCCCTGCACTGCTCCCCATCCTGTGATACTCACCAATCCCATCTGGAATGCATTCCAACAGGTTCTGTGACAGGAGCAAGTCCGTCAGTGCTACTAGCCCACTGACCTCGTTGGGCAACTGCTCCAGCTTGTTCTCTGACACATCCAGACAGACCAAGCGGCGGAGATTGCCCAGCTCCTAGGATCAGAAAGGAGATACTAGGGCTTGAGGGGGCAGCTGAGGAAGGGAGCAAAGTGGTGAATCAGTGGCCCTGAACAGGTACTCACTGGTGGCAGGGCTGAGAGCTGGTTCCGGTCCAACCAAAGCTCACGTAGGTTTGGTAGCGCTCCCAGAGTATCTGGCTGTAACAGAACAGGACAATAATAGCATCAATCCCTTCCACAGGGAAGAAGCTGCTTTAGGATGCTACAAATCACAACACACCTCGGCAAGCTAGACATTGTTATTGCTTTCACATCTCCTAGAACCATTCACCAAATGGGTTATAACGTGCTGGTGTGCCACAATATAGCAGCACATGTTTGGAAATGTCTGGGAGGGCATACTGGCTGCAAAAGGTCCCGACAGGAAACATGGAAGACAACAGCCAGGACTGTCTGGTAGAAGGCAAGACAAGAACTAAACAGGGTTTTGGAAATTCTGGCCTTACAGAAGAAATGAGTCTCCTCTTCCTCCTCTCAGACATGAAAACAAACATTTGGATAACACTGACCAACTCAACACAATATGGCAGCACCATCAGCAATGGTAGACCTACGTTCATAGCATCACTCCAGAAGCACCACACAGACTGATTACAATTTGGGTTTGGAGTTAATGCACCACTGGAGTGTGGTTCAAATGTCACGACAACTGTTCTCACAAGCAAGCTGCAGCCTTGTGCATAGCAAGCTGCACAAACTCTTTTGCCTTCCAATTTAGATGGGTTTCTGCCAAAAAGCATTCCAGAACATTAAGTGCAGGATTCAGTAACAGCTTAATCCATAGCTGCAAAATTAAAGAATATTACTGGATGCCCCTGAATGTCAAGACAAGTTGAATTTCCAAACTGTGCACTGGCTCTCAGCATGCTTGCACTCAGAGCCCTCCGTGGAAGCATCCCAGTCCAGAGGGCACACACCCCGTGCCTGGATGACTTCACTGCCAGGAACAACATGGCATGGTTGTGCACTTTGCAGCAATCAAATCAGAAGAGAAAGGTGGAAAGTTGGCCTAGCAGAAGTGAAAACCAACAGCCTGGGGCAACGCAACACAGAAGAGAAATTAAGTTAGCAGAGTGTCACTGGAAAGGAAAGATCCTTAGGCAGTTAGATAGCAAGAACTAACATCCCAGAGCAAAACTGCTTGGAAAGAGCAAAGCAAGTTGTGCACGAAGACAGCAGGAAGCAAGACACAAGGGTCAACACATGAAGAGAACATTATGCTGGGAACAATGAATAGACCATGGTGGGCACATCAGAATCTTCCCAAACAACCTGCAGGTCTATTTCTTTGTGTTTCAGATGAAAAACCACTTGCTTCCACAAAGGTACAGGGTTCTGCCCCTACCAACCACCCATACTCCCTCCCCACCATCCCTCACCTACCAGTACTTCCAGGTCATTGCCACCAAGATCCAACTGTTCTAACTTGACAAGGAAGGAGAGTGAACTGCAAGATACAAGAAGTAGAGAGGGGAAGAGAGAGAAAAAAAAAAGAAAGACAGAACAGAAGGTTAGCATCTGGGACACACATCTCACAAATTATGTAATTTTTAATAACTCCTAAAACAGGTGGAGCAATCCTGACCTTTTTCATAGTCCCTCTGTGCCAAGCAGTTTAGGGGAGTTGGTACCCTTCCCCAAGCCAGATCATCCGCATCAGGAAACCAGGTTTAGTAGCACCAGCAGTCTCAAAGTGGCCAGTTTCCACTCTATCACAAATTTGCCTTCTCTTCCTCCCACCATAAAACATTCTTTGAGCAAAAACATGACAGATGACAAGCCACACCTTAACACTGCTGCCCATTTTTATACCAAGGATGGGGACCTAGGCACAGATTAACAGATAGCAGGAGAGTCAGCAGAGGACAATACATATTCGGGGGGTAGGTGTAGCACAGATGTAGGGAGGGGCAGGAATGACAAAGTCAACAGCCTCAGTTTCCCCGAATGGGATACCCATGCGGCTTAAGAGAAAAGGGAAAGACAACACTGGCACAATGTCTCAGAAGAGGTCAAGACATACGGACAAGAAGCTTACTAGGCAAGATACTACAAGAAGCCTTCACAGGAACCAAAGCCTGTCAAGACTGGTGGTCCAAGGATGGGCCCTGAGTTTACAAACACATTACTACCTGGTGATACAAAAGGCTGCAATCTGCAACCCCACAAAACCAGGAGTCAGTTCTTCTGACATAGCCCAGGTGTTTATGCGTCCTCAGCTCTTGGTCTCACCCTACCAACTCCAACTTCCACTTCCCCAAACAGGGGTGGCTGTCTCTCACTTTACACAAGGGCAGAATCTCAGCCCTGCCCACTTCCCCAGTAGGGTCTTTGGTTCTTTTTATTCTCTTCGTAAGAAACTGTCCTAATACAGAAATCACTATACAGATCAGAGCTATACATCTCAATGCCATCCAAACTAAGGAAGTTGGGGGCTGCAAATCTGTGAGAAAGCAATAAAAAATATGTCTTGCCTGGGCCAAGCTATAAAAATATTTGGGCTACACAAGAAAAACAAGTTCTTGCCTTATGCAGTGGTGGATCTTGAGATATTATATTAACTCAAGCAAAGGTTTATCAACAGGATCATCACAAGGATTCTGTTGTATAGCAGTCTCCTATTATGACTGTACATTTTTTCTTTGACTTCTCTGAAGGGTGAAGCAGCCTTGACTGTCCCTTCACAGTTTCAATTCCCAAAGCAGGGACAAGTGAGCTGTGGAATCCATGTTAAGACACAAAGTCTTACAAAATGCCTCAGTACAGAACACTCTCCACTATTCCATGAGAATATATGAACGACAGCTACCCCTCCCAAATTACTGGCAAGCTGCATCACATCGGTGTGGGAATGATAAGGAGTGATAATCAGCTGTACAAAATAAACCACTTCAGCTCAGTTGACAGCAAAAGACTAACCAATGAAATTCAACTGAGACAAGTAAAGGTCATTGCAAGCTGGATCTTTTAAGGAGCTCAACAACAAAAATCAAAAGGACACTGATGCCTTATGCAGCCACAAATACACAGTATTGAAGCCCATCTACCTACTGGGCTCAGTAACCTTGAAAACTGAAAGCATCATCCATTTCAGTAAGTCATTCTACTCTTTAGCAAGATCACTTGGACTTGTTTAGAGCCATTCTTGGGCACAATTTGCAACAAGACCAAGTACAAGAGCTTCAGACCTGAGTAGAGTACCTGATAATACCACTGTAATTTCTTTAGCCATTGATTTTGATCTTATATTTGACTGACAGATCTGATGAAAATTGCCTTGGCCTTAAAGATCTTTCTACTTTTAGAAATCATCCAAAAGTAGAATCTGGGGAATTGGGGAAAGATGAAAAGATGAATTGCACTGCAGAATGTATCAAGTCTGGACTTATCTTTCAGAGAAAAACCTCACAAACTCATAGCATGCTACAAGTATCTTGCTGGCATACAAATCTAACATAGGGAAACAAGGGAGCACTGGGCATAGGAGATCTCCCCAGAAACCATATGGGTTTGGTCACAGACTGAATTCTCAAACTCTAGATACTTGCTGGTTCCTAGATGGTGAAAAGCCATTGGGACCATTCTTCATTGCAGTTTGAAAGCCCAACTTTGGATGTAGCTATTGTACCTCTTCGTTTATATGATGTATCACAGTGGTGGTACCGGTCTGTATGAACACAAAGAACACATGGAACAGACAGCAGTGGGTCCCAACACCAGGACCCAAACTTCTTCTGCCTGCCTGTTCTCATCCTGCCATAAGGAGCTTTGGCTCTCACGTTCTCCCTTGTGGCTAATATTCCATGTGAGGCCATCTCAGCTGGTCTCAATGTCGCGTCTCTGTGATAGGATGCTAATGCTGACAACTGCGCAGAAAAGATCCAGTCACTTTGGCATCAGAGACAAGATGAGAGTGTTAATTTGAACTATGCTTCTTCTGTGTGAAGCCTGGGAGCTGACCAGTGCAGACTTGTTCAGCTCCTTTTTGGAAGTGTCTTGTCATCTGGGTCAAAGCTGACACATGAATTCTATGAGCAGATATAAGTGATGTCATATAAAGCTTGTACTTGCAGGTCCCAGCGGAAAATAGCCACTAGGAAGAGCTTGTGCCCGAGTCAAAGCAGCATCTCACAGTGAGGGAGGCATGGCCATCACAGAAGCAAGACTAAAGCCGTAACTGCTTAGAGTCTCAAAACCTTGCCTGAACATTGTATCATCAGATGCCTCCTTCGCCCTCCTTTTTAAATAAAGCAGAGGAGAAAGGGCAGAAAGTACAGATAGCCAAATTGAATACTTGCCATGAATAGTAAGAGGGCACAGAGGAACGGTCACGATAGTTGCATGCTTCACACACTCACTGAGGAGTTTGTGTGGCCTCAAAACACACTGCTATTCAAAAAGAAGTCAGGTAGAATCCCTTCCAACATATATTCAAGAAATACCGCGGGAATCATCAGTTGGATGGATAAGCAGGCAGAAAATAAGTTGACAGAGCTAATGGAGGTTAGAAAACTCGAACAAATCTCATGGGCTCCAAACCAGAGATTAATGTACAGACTCATTAGTTCTCCATATCCTATCCACCTGATAGCATCAGCTGTACCAACCAGACCCTCTATCAGGAACTTATCTCTGTCCCTAACTCTCTGAAACGTTTAACAAGACTTACCTCTTCTCCCTTGCTGGCTTATTTTTTGTTTGCTGCAGGAAAGCCAGTTATCCCACCCATTCCCACAAACTGCTCAACCAGAACAATCAGAAGGGATACCGAAGAAAACAGAAATGTCAGAAGCAAAATATATCTTCATATTCTGCTGCTCTTCAAATTATGAACTTCACTATATACAGAGTTCTTCCTATACCCACCTCAGTACATTTTTCTCTCATTTTCCAAAAGAATCTGTCATCTGCTCTACCTCTCTAGAAAAAATGGTTCTCACCACTTCCAGAAACTTTCTCGTGGAACCATGACTATTCTAAATCAGTCTTGACACAGAAGATGAGTACAGACTGTGAACATCCTTCCCTGCTCTTAAGCCTTGGTACCATCTCTCTCCCTCCTTATCCCAATTTACAGAAATCCAGCAAGATGCAGATAATTTATGCAAAGCCTTGAGCCCTCCCAAGCAAAGTGCCAAGAGCTTGTACTACAGAAACAGAAAATCCCTGAGGAATCAGAAAGAAGGATCGGACAGGAGACTCCTGAAGCCACCAGACAGACACTCACGTGGGGAGAGTCTTTAGCAGGTTCTCACGTAGCTCCAAAGTCACCAGGTTTGCCAAACTGCAAGAGAAAAGGGAGCAAGAAAGCCAGATTCACTGAATAGGGCTTCAGGGATACAAGTAGATACTCATATCCCTTCCCTTGGGACCACCCCTCATGACCTGCACAAATGCATATACATGAATGTGTACACACAAATGGAGATGACAGGGGAAAACAAAAAACAAATAGGATCTTAAATGACTTCTGATGAAGGTGACTGTGTATTGCAAAATCATGGGGAAACAATACTATGCCCAAACTCAAGACAAGGAAGCATGGTATCACATACAGGACTGCCCAAAAAGATAAAATCCCTCACATGTAGAAAGTCAAATCCCATGGGAAGGGCATTGCACCCCACAGGTGCAGCTGCCGTTTGCTAACAGCGTAAATCATTTCAACATCATCAGACAGACCATACCTGTTTGGAAAGGGACAAATGGGCACTCAGAAAATAAGAGAAGATTTGAGAAGCCTGGATGCACTCCTTGCCTGTGCCACACACCACAGAGGAGGAGAAGGAGCTGAGACCAGGAAAGGAATCTTTATAAAGCGGTTGTCTTTTAACAAGAATAATGTTTAGAGGTGCTCACATAGTATGTTCAGTACCGTGGCAAGCTGTAACTGGGATGGCATGCTCTTCCCCTCTCAGTCCTGCTTGTGTCCCCACCCCAACCCTCCTCCCTGTTATGAGGAACAGAGGCATACTCACTTCCCAATGTCATTGGGGAGGCTCTGCAGGGACACATCATTCAAGGCCAAATGGCCCAGGCTCCGGAGCTGTGTGAAGCCCTCTGGAAGCCTGTAAAAGCATGACAGAACAAAACACCATTAATTCTGTTCACAAAACAATCCCTAAATTCCTCACTTAAATCCCCTAAAAGCCAGTCTTATCCTAACTGGTATCAACATGTGGAAAGGAGAAGAGCAGAAACCAACTCTGACCCTGGCTCCTGATCCAGGATATGCCCCGTTTCCAAGACATCAATACCCCTTTGTATCAAAGTCACAACATGTTCAAGTGTGCAAACTTGGCTCTGCAGTACTCAAGCATGAATCCCAGACTAAATTATGCCATGTGATCATTTGAACTTGGAAGCAGGGAGGGCTACCAAGTAATCCAAATGCCCATCTAAGGATATTTCTGCAGATGAGACTGAAGCATTCCCTGGGACCAGGTAGTATCATCATAACAGCTCCAAGGTGCAACAGAACAGGGGAAGACCCGTGAAAAGGAGAAATCCTTTGCTATTCACAGGCAGTTCCTGGAGCTTCCCTGCCCCCCTGCTCACGACACACATCTTACAAGTCTGGGCCAGAGAAAGACTCTGACAAATAACTCCTAGTGCAGAAGCACTGGTCACTCCTGTGGTACAGGGATTCTCACCGACTGAAAAGCTTGTCCCATTCTGGCAGTGTCTGGCACCACAAGAGGGAAGCAGAGAGTTAAATCTATTTAAAGGGCAACTTGGGCAGCACTTGCCCAGGAGCACAAAGGGCAGCAGGCATCTGGAGTCAGACTGGCATCTATAGGGACCCTGGCAGACACCAGTGCCTGAAAGCATGGTTCACCAAGGCAGAGGAGCCATACTTAAATTCCTAAAATATTATGGATTAAGGGCTGTAGAGACAGAAGACTGAAGAGACAAGGCAGAGAGCCCCATGCTCTGGCCACTATAAGGGAAACCCACCAAACACAGAATTCAAAGGATGGCTATCCTAAGTTATAAATAAAAAAAACATAGAGCAAAAAGGACTGACAAATATTAAAGCATATCAAGCAGGCCTCTCTCTACTCCTCTGGTACAATCAGTCCACATCCATTCTGGTTTGTGCACCAGGGTGAAGGCATGGGGAGGGAGTAACAAACTTACTCCAAGAGGACGGAAGTCCTCACCATTCACACCAGTGGCAACAGTATGACTCAAGGCTCATCAATCCAAGCCACAGGCCATACAGAAGAGGGAGCACACACCAGCTCTCCCCTATGAGTGTCAGTGTCAGGAGAACAGACATCTGCAGGTCTTGGCAAAGGCAGGGTGATCCTAGGCCTTGACTTCAAGGGAAGATAATTACAAGATGAAGACCAGAGAAGGCTTGGGAGAATGAGGAACTTCAGCTCTCATTCTCAGCTGGACAAAAGGCTTGCAGATGCCTTCCTACCTGGAGAGAGGATTCCCACTGAAGTCTGCGATTTCCAAGGATTTGCAGAATTTGATGCTTTCAGGAATTTCTGGAATGTCTAGAAAAAATATGTGAAAGAAAAAGAGGCTTGAGAAGAGCTTGTCATGTGGAAAATGGGACACCGGGTACTGGTGACAGCCTAAGACACACTAAGATAACCATATTTTCATAGCTCAGGACCCACGAGAGATCACTCTGCAGGACTGTGAAAGGGTCCTGCACCTTCCAGAACATGCACAGGGTAGTACTACTACAGAGAGAAGTAGGGCTGTGGGCACCCACTCCCCATTTAGCTTTGACCTTACCGTTGCGGGAGATGTCCAGTTCCACCAGTTGCATGAAGTTGGCAACCTCAGGGGGAAGTCTCTGGATTTCATTGTCACTCAGACCCAGCTTCCGCAGGTTCAGAAGCCTAAAGAAAGGCTATGACAGGAGAGAAGAAAACTGTCAGCAGCAGTTCTGTGGGAAGCCTGTCTTCTTACCTCAGGACAAACCTGAGCATCCATCCCTAGAAACAACTGCCTTCTTTCATAATGTCTATCCTTGTGAGGTCCTCAACATGCAGTCGCTGCACAGATGAGAACCCTGATTAAGGTCTACAAGAGATGAGGGTGAAAGAAGAAAGGCATTTAATGAGTTTAGCTTGATGATTCATTTAACATCTCTATTATCCCACTGCTCTTCTCCCTTCCTTGTTGTGCTGGGGGTTTTGGTAGTGGGGGAGGGAGCTAGAGCAGTGGCCCCTGTGAGAAGCTTCTCAAAGCTCCAAGTTAGACTCACCTCTGGCCAAGGCCGAGCCAATTAGCAACAGAGGCTGTGCCTCTGCAATAATGTATTTAAGAAGGGGCACTTGGGAGGAAGAGTGGGAGTCGTGAGAACATCTGTGCAAACACCTAGGTCAGTGGAAGAAAGGAGGAGAACCAAGGGGAGGTATGCTGGCGCATGAGCTGCATCCCATGGTGAGAGGGCAGGGCTCCCTGCTGACACCCGTGGATGTCACCAGTGGAGCAGAGATGTGCCAGCAGCCCATGGAGGAGCCCACACTGGAGCAGGTGACTGTGCCCAAAGAAGGCCAGGACTGTGAGGGAAGAAGCCCCCACTGCTGTAGTTCAGCACTGGGAAGATTGCAACATACAGGGGGGATTCATGCCAGAGCAGCTCAGGAAGGGCTGTGGCCCATGGGAAGAACTTATGTTGGAGAAAGTTCACGGAGGACTGTCTCCCATGAGAGGGGTACCACACTGAAGCAGTGGAAGAATGCAAGGAGTCCTCCCCCTGAGGAGGAAGGAGCAGCAGGACTGACTGCACCCCCCATTCCTGCCTCCCTGTGCCACTGAGGGAGAGGAGGTAGAGAAATCAGGAGCAAAGCTGAGCCTGGGAAGAAGGGAGGGGTGGGCGAAAAGTGTTTTTAAGATGTGGTAATGCTTCTCCCTGTCCTACTCTGTCTGTTAAATGGTGTTGTTGTTAGTGAATGAATTAAATTGATGTCCTTTTTTCTTCCCCTAACAAGTCTGTCTTTTGCCAGTGACCATAATGGGCGAGTCCTCCCTCCCTGTCCTTATCTTGATTCTGGAGCCTTTTGCTTTATTTTCTCCTTCCCATTCCTGAGGGGAAAGGGGCAAGTGAATGGCTGCATGGTGCTCAGTTGCCCTCTGGGCTCAAACCACAACACTTGTGGGATATAAAACAGATGTTCCTTGTTTCCTCAGAGAGCAGCTCATCTTATAGGCATTCAACTACTAGCATCATGAGGAAGTTACTATAAAGCAGCTTGCCAGTAGACACCACAGTGTTTATGAGTCTGGTCCAGAGAAGCCAACAAAGGAGAAACATAAGGGGATGTCCAGACTGAGGTTCTGTCCCTGATGTTACACGTGACTGTTATACAGTACATTTTTTCAGGACGTCAGTGACAGGTCCCTACACCAACAGGGAAAGTGTTTGTGCCACTTGTACTGGAAAAGAAAAGGAGCAAGCAAACTATCTGTAGGGCCCAAGCAACAAAGAATTAGAGAAGGAAACAAAATTCCTTTCTAGAAACACCAGAGTCATAAAACTGTTTTCTGGAAGGGATCTCTAGGGGTCTCCTAGTCTAACAACATCCAACCTTTTCACACCTGCCCTTGTTCTCAGAAGTCAATTAGATTAGCTATAAATGGTAAGTTACAAGATTCATCAATCATACTCTTTCTAGACATCAACAGTCTCTCAAATAAGTTTACTAAACACAACATACTGTAATTATCAACTGCAGCTGCTTCTAACTATTGTTGGACATAGGATACTGGACAGGATGGAAACCAAGGCTGTAGTGTTTGTTGCATCTTCCGGGTTGTTTCAGAGTGCCTGGGAATAACAAACAAACAATACTGGGCCACTGCAGAAAATGAGACAGTTTTAAGAAGTTTACCCATAACCCACAAATAGATAAAGGCAGAAACTGTTGCACGCACACATAGTAACACCGTGTCTCTGACTATGTGTTGAGGTTCTGCTACAGTACAGACAAGTGCTCTAAGCCACCTCTAACAGTTTATAGCTTTTAGATGACCAAATCTTAAGAAACTAATAACTCAACCCATGATGCAAAGAAAGTAGTGATGAAGCTAGGAACAAAGTCAGGTCTATGAAGTGACATGCAGAATCCACTTCTAATCCATGTAATCATCCTGTCTGTCCTACACCAGAGGCAGAGAGGGAGTTACAATAAGCAACACAAGATGTAATCACAGGATTACTTACAGATCAGAAGACATGTCCAGAGAGACAGGGCTGCTTACACAGACCACACTGAGAAGGATCAAACAAGAAATTGAGGCCTGAACCTTTTTTCTCAGTTGCCTTTCCCATAATTCATCAGCATAAAAGGCTGCTGAAACAGACCCCTCTAGGAATAGTTGTGGGGATATTGACATTTGTTCAGGTTTGAGGTGGTGGGACATCCCCCAACTGCCATTCATAACACCACAAAGAACAATAATACAGACCAGGCAAGGGAGGAGTAAGGAATGAAAAGGTGATGCACAACATAACTGTGAAAAGATACACAAGACCACAGAGAGAGCTGCTCACCCCACTAAAAGGGATGATAATGAGGTCTAATAATACAACTTGAGAAGTTTTTCTGTTGTAAATCAAAACCTCTGCAGTTGCCCATACAGACATCTCAGTCAGGAAGCATGTCTGGGTGCAAGTGCATGTTTGAGGGACTGTAAAATGTAGCATGGCTTTTGCTACTCTGAGGTGGTTGTACTTCCACATCGCTCCCCATAAGGAAAGGGAAAAGTGCTCTGGGATGAATAGCGGTGATATGAAATTCATACTCCTGATGCCCTAAAGTAGTACAGGGGACTGTAATAAGTAAAAAAAGAAGAAAAAAAAAAAAAGTCTTATTGACACCGAACAGCGCAAGTTCTTTTTAACTGTTTATCTAATGCAAACTAGTTTAATAAGAAAGGAAGTAGGTGAAAGTCTAAATGAAGTCTAAATAACAACAAAGGTTCAAGCCAGAGCAGGAGGTTTAGAGACTTAATTTGCTATTGTTTCCTAAATCCTTCTCCTAATTTTAGAATGCAAGGAAATACCACGCAAGACATTGTGTTGACCTGCTAGAGTCTACAAGTTGGAAAATAACAAAGGGAACAGAACATCTATAGTCCAAACTTTCAGCACTTCTGCCTACAGATTTTGGACAGTCTCAAAATAGATGCGCACACTTTTAAAAAATATATTTTAGAATAAAATAGAATAAAATAATGCTATATGTTGCATTGCAATATATATAGGAAGTGTTTATTGACACAACAGAGGTTTAAAAGCTATCTCTGGGACAAACTGGCAGCAGCGAATACTGGCTTCAGTTTTGTCTACAGTCAAGTTTTACTTTCCTGGCTAGGCCATCAAAATCAAAACATAACAACACTTCTTTGACAGAGCAGTTGTATCCATGCAGTTTACTGCAATTTAACAGAACAAACTGCGTAACGGGACTTTTACTAGCATAACTCCCTTACTGAAAATAATCAGAACCTACACGCACACCGAGACCCATGAAGCCACATGCAGACCAAGCCTCAGAATCAGGCTGTCACGACAATCTCACAATTCTTCCCATCTAATTAACTTTTCTTCAGGGAGACATCTACTAAATCTAATGTTCCAAAATTCCTTGTTTTGTATGCTACTTTTTTATATCAGTTAAACACCATTTTTTCACCACCAGTCTTTTTTTTTTTTCCTTTTTTTTCTTTAAAAAACAAACAAACAAACAAAAAAAGGTAACTGTTGACAGACTTTTACCAGATCTGTCCTCAATTCAGGCAACAGCAAGACAACAAGAGTAGTACATCCCACTTCTTAAGATTCAGTTAAGCTGAACTTGAATAAAATATTTTGATATGACAAAAATTTAAACTAGTCAAAAGTCACTGGTGGAGGTCATAAAAAACAAACACAGAATTACAGTATTCTCATGCAAGAATGAAGATTTTATATTTGCAAAAAAATTAGAAAGTTAAGCAGAATCCAAGTAAGCCACCATGTCTGACTAGCAAAACCTTCTTGTTAATTGTTAGGTACCAGGCACTTCTCATGATTAACTCCTTACCAATAGGATTGTGATAATGAAATACTGCCAGCTGAAGCACATATACACCAACAAGTCTGTATTTTCCCTTGATGGACTGCTTTGCTCATGAATGTCTTTACTATAGCAGCACAAACAGCTTTGCCAGCAGAGCATATCGATGCTTCTGTAACCAGTCTGGCAGCTCTTACTGCCGTTGCATCGCAGAAGTGCAAAGGTAGACCAGCACTGCTGACGCAAATAAACACACACTGGTTGTTCAGCTGCGGTTCAGAGATGGGACCATCTTCAGGAATAAGCACTTAGACGTGCAGAACAGATGTGCCCCCCACTTACGCTAGCAAAGCTTTTAGAAAACTAGCAATTGGTCCATGTTTGCTCTTATCTCTATTAGGACTGTAGTTAATAAGATGTAAAATATGGCAAGCTGGTGTAATCAAGAACTAGTAAGACTGCAAGCACCGTACCTAATGTGATACATATAGTTTTCAGTTCAGTATTTTGTGAACTGGGCACTTCAACTCCTAAGTCCAAGAGCCAAATTTACAAAGCAAAACTGCACAAGAGATTCATTTGTGACACTGGAAATGGAGAACAAATTAATTTTAAAATTACTACTGGAACTAAGAGTGAAAACTCAAGCAAATGTCTCTTTGGAGACTGGCAGTTATTCCTTTTTCTAATCAATGTTAATCCTGTTTCATACAGCTGGGAAAAAAAAAAAAAAAAAAGTCATGAATTTAACACTATACTGAATGTCTCTACTGAGATCAACATACACAACTCCAAGATTTCCTGAACTTAAAAATCACCAAATCTGCATGACCTATATCTTTCA